TGTCACTAAAGGACAGGGTTCTTTTCTGTCTCAGCTGTTTTACCATGTACCTGCTATTTCAATGGATGTGCCTGTCTCAAAGTACGCAGGGTTTCATAAAGATCCTCCCTCCTGGAGGCTCAAGGGCTGCCCAGTCTAATGGATCAGCCATCCCTGCCTGAAAGGGAGTGTGAGGTCTCCTCATTAGTGGAACCACACTAGTTTTGGTGTCTGTGCCTGGCATGACCTACTGCTATTTCATCTGGGGCAAACAGGCTTTCTTTAGCATTGTGCTCTATGATTTTCCACTGAGACCTTTGTAGCTATGTTAGTTGAGAGTCTGCAGTTGTACTGCACTGGGATTCTTTAACCTGTTGTCACTGTACATAACCAGTGCTACATTAGGTATTAAGAATCATTTTTCCTCTGGTAGAAAAATTGTTTAAATATTCTGATTTATACAATGTATGGGCTCTGGATCTTTGGTTTTAAAGATAATTTTTTTTTAATGTGCAAGGATATATGTAGATAAATCTGTCAGGTAGATCTAAAATTATCCATGTAATTGTTCGAGGTTCATATCATTACTGCTTCCCTGGTCATCTCACCAACTGTCTTCCTCCAAAGAGGTTGAACCATTACTCCTTCAAGTGCTGCCAGCCTATTACTGCAACACCAAGGCAGCATATCACACTCTTCTCAGGCTGCCATTAAAACCACTCTGCTTCTATTACCACTGACAAGTCAGCTCAGCTACCACCCTCCTGGGATTCAACTCTGATCGTGCTTGCACTGGCAGAAATTAGGTACAGCCTTACCATAGCCAACAAACCTAAACTTTCTGTTTTCAAAATAAGCAGGAACGGAGAATCCTTCCCTGGTTGGCAATACTTCTGGCACTCTAACATCTAGGGCATCATTATGGCCACTAACATTGTACTGTGTAGGTACTTTTGTCAGAACCAAAGGCATTGGCATCTTTAGGCAACCACACTATAGACAATGCCATGAGGGGATGGAGGTATTCACCTGGTTCTTGGTCATTTTTTTGCTACCATTCCTTAACAAACAGAGTCAAGTTGTATGTTCACCTCCAGGCTACTGAAGTCCCTATTGTTCACATAAGGCAATGAATCACTTAGGATTCTTATCATGTGATATGATCAGAGTGATTAATTCTCCTTTACCTGTGATTTCTCCCCCAAGCACTGATACTCAGCAAAGTGACATTGAAATAAATCTGAAGCCTGAGAATCATCTCTCATGTCTTCATCAACTGCTCACTAATAACATCACTTATGACCAGAATTGTTGCTCTCAGCTGATCATTTATATTTTATTGCCACTATAAAGGTGTGTGGGCAAAGCCAGTTGTGGGAGTCATTAAGAAAATACCCACGAGGCCACATCCCGTCTGGCTTCTGATCCTTCCTGGGCAGGGGATTGGACATCATGGTCAAACCAACACCTCCCCAGTGCTGGGTCACCTCTGCACACTGCTTGTCACAAACCTGGGGCCCATGAGACTAACTCATACCACCTCCTCCCCTGCACAATCGTATGGGGTGTGCTAAGTCATTAGTTGTAGAGGGGAATGTAGCGGTGGGTGGGGACACTCGTGCCCAACACAAGCATCAGCACCAGCTCTTACCTCTCTCAGGATTTTGAAGGACTCTGTCAAAGCCTTGCTCACAGTCCCCACTCCTTTTGCCTGCAGTTCATCCACCAGCTGCTTGAAGTGCTGGCGAGAGAGGGGAAAAAGGCAGGAATAAGTTGCAGACAGGGTGTTCTGTTTGACTGGGGGAGGAGAGGGTAACCTAGAAAAGTCTGTGCCATGGGGCTCCTGATCCTTCTCTACTGCTGGCAGGGCAGTGCAGCACTGTGATTGATGGAGGTGGCAAAGTCAAGTGGCCACTCCACTGGTGGTGCAATCAGGTTGCACCTATGTTCACACAGTTACAGCAGGGCTGTATTTCTCAGCCTCTGGGCTGTGAACCATTGACAGTCCAAGAATGATCAGCAAGGGACAAAACTACTAGAATCTGACTTTCCCTTATCCAGGGAAAAACAACATCTTGTGCATGCAAAAGCAACAGAAAATAAAACTTTTGAAGGCTTGTCTACTGGTTAAGAGACATTGATCTGGTTGTAAATTAAACTGCAAGATAGTCTCCAAAAGACTTGGGGATCCTTTGGGAAACACCACAAGACATCACCCTCTGGAGTTAACCTCTGTGACCCCAGCTGAGCTGAGAAGGAAATTTGGAGAAAAATCTGGCTGTAGAAGACATGGAGGGCTGTGCTACCTCCATTAATACACATTTTTTTAAAAAAAAAGAAGAAAAAAAATACCAGTCAGAGTAGCCAAAAAAATCCCAGTCATCCCAGAGGGTGGTGGAGGAGATGCAGGCTGAGCATGTCAGGGCTGCTGAGCCCTCCTGGATCAGAACAGCAAAACCCCTCATCAGAGAAAGCTTGCTGGCAGTCCACCCTGACAAAGGATGGCTGCTCTCCTTTTTGAGGGCTGAGGATGTGGGATTTCAAAAGGTGGAGACCATTTGCACACTGTTTTTCTATGGCAGTCTGGGCTAGGTCCACTCACGGTCCAGCACCAGTGGTGCCCAGTCTGCTGTGACACAGGAAAGCTGACTGCTGCTGCTTACCTGGCCAGCTGACCCTGTGTTACAGCAAAGATAAACCACGGAGCCATCACTGGACTGGTGCTTGTTCTTGAGATGCAAATGCACGTGCTGCTGGGAGATGGTTGTTCCTTTGTCTCTGGAGTTTCATGGCACAGTACCTTAACCCCATGTACTTCTTACAGAGAGATACCTGAATTATGTTAATAGGAGCCTGGTACTCACCTCTCTGTTATCTCTGTCTGCTTGGACTAGGATACCCTTAAAACAGGGTTCAATAAAATGAACATAATCATTGTACTGCAAAGAGAAAATGGAAAGAAAGGGGTTGTAATGGGACAGAATTCACAAAATGGGTTCATGTCCTAGGTGGATGTTCAGAATACAGTACAGAGCATTATGCCATTTCATACATATTTCCCTTACAAGTTGTTTCTAGTGATCATGACAAATTATTATTTTGATAAATCTTCTATTTGTTTAAATAATATGTTAATTATGGTGTTTTGCTGAGTTCTATCTGAGCATATCTACATATACAAAGCAGTTCCTTTTTTTCACTCACACTGTAGCACTTTCATCCACACACTATTAGCTTGTGCCCTTGGCCTTGCTTCTAGCACTATTTGAGTATAGTTTTGACTTCTGGAGGCTTTGTGAGTCCCCAGCTGAACCTTGCAAGTGGTTTTGTAACCTGAACTAGGATGCCTGTGGTGCACAGCTGAACAATAACATACCAAGTTAACACACATCCACTGAACTGTGATAATTAGGGGGCTGAAAGCTTCTAGCCTGATACATATGTGAAGTAAAACATGCCAGTGTAAACCTTTTCCTGCAAGATTCAGAAGGGCATCATTCGTAAGAGGTCACTGACGCTCAGCTAATCAATAGGAGCTTAGATCAGGCTTATAAGAGTCTGAGCCAGTATATTCCTGGTGTTAGTGCAGTAAAGGAATATATATATATTACATGAACTTTCTGGGATTGTTTTTAAAGAACAGATGATATTTCAAACTCCTTAATGACTCCCCTCCATTTTTCTGGCGACACTGTTCACTCTTCCATATGTCTAGTCATATAAAGACAGAGCTGTTGCTACTGCAGTTTCCAACTATCTTACACAACAGGAAGCTATTAACAAATAGTAGAGTTTATCTCAGTGGCCATGCCCTTGGAAAGCTTTTCTAGAAAGGAGACTGAGGAAAAAGATGGTGCTTGGATTAGCCTTGAAAACTAGAAGGTGAGCAGCCTTTAACCTGGCACCAAACCCCCCAGTCTTGGCATGGATCATGGTAAAGTTCTGCTTTTTGTGGTTAGTAGTGCTGGTTCTCTGTGGGTCCCATCCTCATCGTGGCCAGGGCTTAGAAAGGAAGACTAACACCAAGGCCACCTGACCAAACTCCATGCAGCCCTGTGCAGATTGACTTCGACATGTATTAGCAGCCTTGCAGGATGCTGCTGCACAAAAAGTTATAGAGTGGCAATTTTCTAGCCTGGAAACATCCTGAGGATTACACTGCTACTGGACCCAAACACAGTATGTTAAGGTAGGTGAATTTATTAGCACAGGTCCCTGCTAGCTCAGGTGTCTGTCTATAGCACTTCATTATCTGTTGCAGTCACATCCCTAGGTAAGCAAGCTGACATCCTCCACAGAGGAGAGGTGCAATGACTTGGCAGCCACCCTGCTGACCACACAAAGTTGACTCCCCAAGGGCAATTGGTGTTAATCCCCCATCCAACACAGTCACTGTGTTATAGCTGTGCCAGTGCAATGTCTGTAGTTTGCTAAGGGGAATGAAGAGTCGGTATGAGGCACAAGGAAGACAGCTCAGCAGTGGAAATGAGACAAACTTACTGCAATGATGTTGACAAAGTCATTTTCTCCCAGAGTATCTAATATGGTGACGATGGTGTGTTTGGCAATGGTCATCCGCAGGCCCTTCATGCTTCCACTGACGTCCACAATGATGACAATGTCCTTGGGAGAGGTGGCTGCTTGGATGTACCTTTATGAAAGAAGAATACAAGGAAGCAGGGCAAGCATACAGGGAAGAGGAATGCTGGACATGCTGCTGTCACACAATGCTAGCCACAGCATAACATGCACCATGAGCCCAACTCTCCAGCAGGATCAGGCTGGTCAGACAGTAGGTCCCTTCCTAACAACCTGCCCCTCCCGCTGGCCCCAGCATCTCAATTCCTGCATTGGGAAGTGCTGGGCCTGCCACAGACAGACATGCAAGGGTGGACAGTTGCTAAAGCCTTTTTTAGCCATGCTGAGTAGGCTGAGTAAACATGCCACATTTCTGGAGTCTGGATGTCCCTGCCACCCAGCTGAAGAATTATAAGGAAGATGGGACAGAGGAAGGAGACACTGGTGGAGATTTCCATGTGACACATGATACATCTATCATGCCACGTGGAAAGCTGTTCCTGGCAGGTGATAAGGCTTCCTAACCTGCTATTACCTTTGTTTACATACCCCCATCTCTTGCAGGAGCGGCATGGGACAGTAACTGTTGATCAGCAACTCACCAAGGTGTCACCTTGGAAAAGAGGGAGAGAGGAAGGCTGAAAGGTGCTTTGGCCAAGTCTCTCTGAAACTTACCAGCCACGGTTTCTGCAGTCAAAGGAGATAACTCCATTTTCATCTGGTAACCACTTGATTCCTGAAGAGAGCAGCAAAAGGAGCAATCAACATACACAGACAGGCAGGCATCTGCTTCCCACTCCCCAGGCACCTGCACTGCTGCTGCTCACTGCTCAGACCCAGAGACCCCACAGGGGCAGAACATCTGGCCAGCAATAGCAGTGTCCCTTCTGCAGAAATACAAGCAGAGCTGCACAGTCTTTGGCAGGTCTCAGTAAACTGTTTATTAAGCTTCCAAAAAAAATGTATCTAGGCATAGTCTGTTCAAATTTGGGGAGCAATTTCATGTACTTTGAACATTTTGCCACTTTGATGTAGTTCTCAAAAATACGTTTTTCTCCCTAAGGGTGGTCAAGAGCATGAAAAAGCAGCAGCAGTGACAGGGATGCATCCCAGATTCCCTGCTAAGCTCTCTGTTCACAGTCATCTCTGCTTTCCCCTTGCCCAGCACGTGACAGGTCACAGAACAAGGGCACACAGCCATCTGACAAAGCAGCCACAAGGCCAAGCTACAGCTGCAGAGTATCTCATGGGTTCCTCTAAGCACAGGACCTCCCTCTTGTGCCATGACCTTATGTGCCACTCACAGCTGGCGAGTGGATAACAAGTCAGGCCAGCCAGCTGCATCTGCCACGTGTGCTCGGAGACAGAGAGAGGCATTGGCCACTACTAAGAACCACAAGGGAGCACAAGGCAGGGAGCCCTGCCACGGTGTCTGGTGAGCTTTATGGATGGTAGCCTGCCCAAGGCACACCTCTGACAGCAGACTCCTCTAGGGCTGCAAGGGCAAATGCCTGAGGGGCTGGTTCACATGAGAAAAAGGGGTTTGTGCCTGCTCTACACTATCCCTTCAGCCTAGGCAATAGCAGCCCATGCACCGAGTATTTTGCTCACTGCACCCTGTCCTTCAGAAAGCTGTGATGCCCCCAGCCTTCCCAGATTGGGGTCTTCCATGGCACAGACCCTGTCCTGCAAAACTGGTGTGTTGCACTAAAAGAGCAAAGCCTATCTTTGTTCTTTTACCTGGGTAGAGCCTGAAGAATCCAGTGGAGCTGCCGAAGTACTGCCAGGTCAGCGTGGGATCCCTTTCAAAGTTGTCCACAAAAACAGGATTCAGGGCTTCTGACATATAAACTCCATTAAGGATTGCAGGGTCTATGGGGGAAATAAAAAAATGGAGGAAAAAAGTGTGAAAAAGAAGTGAGAGTGTGTCCACCACCCCTGAGGGAGGAGAGGGATGGGAACAAAGGCAACTCCAGGGGGAATGCAGCCTTGTCTAAAACTTTTACATTAGGAAATTAAGATGCATCATTCAAGCAAATCCTGGAGGTCAGGTCACCACTGGCCACTGGAGGGGATCTCAGTTTGGTCATACACTATTAACCCGACTTCTCTTTCCAGCCTTGTCTGCCCTTGAGCATCACATCTGGTTGGAAGAATGCTCTGAGAGGCCCTGGAAAGCCATTGCTGTGCTGAGCACAGCTGGCACAGCATACAGGCAGGACTCAGCTGCTAGCTGAGAGGGGACACGTGGCTGCTGAAAGGCAAGTGCCTGATGCACCATTAACAGCCTTGCTACAAGGAGTGTTATGCTAGGTGTAATTACCTAAGACAGAGGAGCCCTAGGATTTACACACTGTTTCTCTCTCTCTCCTCTCTTCCTTAACAATTCTTTCTCTTCTTCTCTGCCTGATCTTTTCTTTTTTTCACAAAGCCTGGGCTGTCCCACCTTGCCGCACTAGGAAGTTGCAGACTTCCAAGAACTCCTGAGGCAGTTTATATTTGGTGTCTGTGTTGACTCATTGCCACAGGAGACCAAAGAGAGCAGCAGCAACAGAAACAGGGCATCATGAGAAACTGATCATTGTAGAATTAACTGTATTAATGTTGAAAGGGATGAGGCTTTCACCTACCATTTCCTGTTTAGTCACTTTACTAGAGGTGGTTTTTAACTAGAGGTCAGAATAGGGGAAAAAAATTGAACTGTGACTCCCCGGCAATGAGACCAAAGTTGGTCCTGCACAAAGGGAGAGCCAGAAGAGCTGTGGAAAGCCAGGCTTGCTACTGTTTGTGAGAAGGAAGGAGTGCTGCTGGGCACTGCACCCAGGAGGAACCCTGGGTGTAGAAGGCCCCTCCTCCATCTCCTGCTCATCCTCCAGCCATAGCCAGACAAGCTGGGTTGTTTGTGTCAAAGTGCACAGGCAAGAAATCAGCTACCTGGGCAGTGCCTCTCTGCTGTCTCTGCCATCTGGCTACCTCTGTCTGTACACTGCTGAGGGCAGCAGCCTGCACTGCGCAGTTCTCCTGTGGCTACCCACAGCCAGCTCTGCTGGTGACTATTGTGAGCAAGATCAAAGTGTCTGGGGCCGTCAGACCAGATGGAACTGATTTAAAATCATGGGAGAAAAAGAACTCCCTCCATTGTCTCTATAAAAAACACAGCAGTTGTGAGCACAGTCACCAGCACCTGCCCCGACTGGTCCTGAAGACTGTAAATGAGCTTCATCTATGAGAGAAGAAATGGTACCTTTTTTTTCCTTGCCAAAAACACATGCAAGGGGAAGAGCTGATAGGAAGGTAAGGAAGGAGCCAGTACAGGCAGCTTTGAATGTTGGCCAAAATGAGCAATAAATTTAGGATAATTGCAACCAGGTTCTCAGCTTGAAGATCTGGCAGTGTGCAGACCAGCCCAGAGATGTATCGACTCCTGATGTGTAGCTGGAATGGTGTGAACATGCAGGGGTTGGCAGTGTGCTGACCAGTCCAGAGATGTATCGACTCCTGATGTATAGCTGGAATGGTGTGAACATGCAGGGGGAGAAGACAATCTGGGCACAGAAGTGCCCGCATCAGCCTTGGTGCCTCCCTAGGCTCCTGCAGCTGCCAAAGTGCCACAGGCTTGCTGAGAACAGAAAATAGTCCAGAACAGTCATGTCCCAGTAGCAGTTGTGAATTACACCCAGACCCTGATGGATATGCTTACTGAGAATTAAGAGTGTCCCCATGAAGTGTTAGTGCCTCCTAACACAAAGGTACTTAGGGTCTAAATTCTCAGCTGAAATCAATAAAATCTTTGACACTTAAAGACCTTGATAAATCTATCCCTTTGTACAGAGTAACAATTGCCAATAAATTCACATCACAGTTTGTCTCACAGTGTCTTTGGTTGGCAGCGTCCAGATGAACTGTAGGAGACTATATCCCTGCCTAAGATGGAAGACTGTCCATCACTAGAGGTTTTCCAAGAGCAGATTATACCTAAGACCTGTCACAGTGACAAGAGTACAGCACAGACATGTCATACCTTGGGACAGTACCTTTCCAGCCCTGCTTTCTTTTCTATCAGTTCTTGTTTTTTTCTATTCCCATCCTTGTTTTCAATATTATTACTGATGATTTCACCTAGTACTGAGAAAGTAGAGGCCAGGACAGGCCATTACCTTTGTTGTAGACGTTGGTGGGGAGCTGGATATCACTGTATGTTGTGTTCACCAGCAGGTTATTGAAATGCTCATTTGGCTCCAAAATGAATTCATCTCCAAGCTCCACATAATTGTCATTTTCATCCTTCTCATTAATCAGGAGAGAGTTGTAGTAATCAAACTGTTGGTGAAGATAAGGGAAAAGAGAAAGGCAGAGAGAGAATAAGAGACTATTACCAGTATTGCCTGAAAAAAAAACCCCACCTTAAAACATAAAAAAGGAACGTATGGAGAATTGGGGCTTCAAATAGGATTAAGATGAGTGATAAGCAAGAGCTGTTGCCAACTGAAAAGCGTCAAGCTGGCCAAATGATGGTTTCTGGCCACTTTCTTATGGTTAGGTGCCCACATGACTGAAAGCATGGTCATACCAGCAGCAGAAAAGCCAAGGGACACAGGAGCAGGCTCCTGTGGTCCCTAAGAGGCATTTAAGTGACTAGCCAGCCAGGTGCAATGTCTCAGTGGGTCTGGCTCCCAGGTTTACTACAGGGCATACCTACCTTACTTGCCCTGCCTCTACAGCTGTCATTTACTAGAGTTAACTCCTGATGTACATCCAGCCAGGATTATCCCCTCATTCTGTCACTCCGAGTAGCAGACACTCGTCAAGAGCAAAGGATCGAGCAGAAGGTGCTCAAAGACAACAGAGCTTTCTCCCTGTGAAGGTCACTGGAGATTTATCATCTACAGTCACTTTGGTACATCCAGGACACTCTTTGCCCTTCAATAACCTACATTTTTAAGATGCCTTTGCTGACTTTATCTGAACTAGAGGTTATCCAAGGATTTATATTTAATCACTAACAGTACTCACAGGGTGCAAATTGTGTGTACAAATACTGAGTCATATACCTCAACTCATCCATGCCCCTTGCTGTGAATGCAGTTGACCCAACTAGCATGACTAATGTGATTCTTAGAGGGAAAAAAAAAAAAGGTAGGTGAGGTGAAATCAGTAGCTAGCTTGATTTCAAGAACTGTTTTCATTCCCAGCATTGAGACCTGTACTTGCAGTGGTAGCCTGTACTTCTGTTAAGCACTCTGTGCTTGTACTGTCAACAGAGGACTTCATTCAACAGAGTGTTCACTCCAGTTCCTCTCATCAGCAATAATCCCTTAGCTTGGACACAACAAACAGTTATTAACAGAAAGCCAATTATCCAAATTGCTTGGACAGCACCAAACTTTCACCAAACAGGAAGTTCTGACAAGTGGGTGTCTGTCTGGTAGGGAAAAGATGATGGGAGCTGTTGAGAAAGATGGTGAGAAATTCAGTTCATTTGGATTAACAGTTTGCTGTGGGTATTTGTAACAGCATCCTCCTCATTGCTCATTCACACTCAATTTTTAGCTCATTTTCTAGTCAAGTAACCCACAAAGTGCCAGCTAACTTGCACTAATGCATCACATAATGATGACTTATGTGTGCAGTAAAAGTAATGTCAATAATATCACGCAACACAATGTCTTCCCAAATCCTTCCCCTCCCAGAGCCAAGGGGACTAATCTGCTTGGTGTTACTAGGTTTGGGATCTGCCAAAGGAGCCTCTTACTAGCAGTAGTCTCTAGACAAGCTGAGTGTCCTGAAGACAAGGAGATTCTTGGCCTGTCCACCCTTTTGGCTGGTCTCTCTGAGGACACATGTCGTGTTTTGTCACTGACCAGGATAAACTTACCTCCAGTGAGGAGTTGTACACATGGTTCAGATCTGCATCTTCTGCTGCTTCCACCAACCTCTAAGGAAAGGACACAGAAACAAAGGTGAGCTGGTGCTGTGACAAGCCCTGCAGAAGCTCTTCCAGCTGCATCAGCCATTCATACAGTTTGTGAAAAGACATGACTGCCTCCTCCACCCCAACAGAGCCTCTGGGCTATGAGCTTCCCTCCTTCCCTCCTGTTCTGCTGACTTGTCATTCTGTGCTGCAACTTTGCCACTTGGAAAGTATATTATTTGCAGCTATTCACTGCCAAGTATATTCACACCTACTTACTCCAGAGTCCTTACTAAATCCCTGAGCAATTTTGGATATCACAGGACATATACAAACAGAAACAGGTCCATTTAGAGAAACAACAGACAGATTTCACTTCATTTTCCATGAACCCTTCCAAAAAGCCACGAGAAAGGCTTTTCAGATCCAGCTTGATGTCAGTATCTTGTCAAAGGAAAGGGCCTTGTGGGAGTCTGAGTCTGGTATTGTTACTGAGACAAAGACCATGACTTGATTTCGTAAAGGGCTCAGTGATGCTGTGGCCATTTATAAGCTCTTACCATTTATGGAAGGCAATAAAATCAGCCAGTATTCTCCAGTACGATGCTTCAGGGCACTAATCTCAATTGGTACGGACTGGGAAGGAATCCAGCTAAACATGTACATGTTTTCAGGGTTGCACAATCAGTGACAGTCTCAGCAAAACTCCTTCACAAAGGATAAGTCAATCCAAACACTGGAAAAGTCTGGCTAAGAATTTAATGTTATGGGCCAAAGCTCTGAGTCTAAATATGCCCACATTTCATTTGAGATTCAAATTATGTGTTTCTGGATGATTTTTCCACATTAGACACCTTACACAGTCAAGGCTCTGTGACTACAGAAATATGCTCTTCATAGTAGGTAAATATATGGGAATATGATAAATCCTTAGATGCAGGAAGTAAGAGGGGCCATAATGATTACCTGCTCTGATCTCCCACACAGCAACAGCTAAGGACCTCTTGCCACCTCCTCCACACGACCCCATGAATACGGCTGGAAATCCAAGCACCTCCCTTGCAGCTTGTGTTCACGGGGTGCAGAAATTTCCCTTGAGCCACACACACAGCTGAAACAAGCTACTAGTCTTCAGTAGCCACAGTGCATTATGCAAGAATGAACTTTATTTTCACTTTAAAGAGGGCTTTTTTTCTCTTTAAACAGCTTTTGTCTGCTACAAGAGTGTTCATTCCCTCATATTTATTCCTAGACTTTGTTTTTATCTTGTTTCCTCCTTTGGGCTCAGGGAGAAGCCAGCATTCCCTTGTCTGAACGCCCACATCCTCCCACCAGTGTCTGCTTAAAGCTCAGAGTGAGCAGCCAGCTACACCAGCAGGCATTGGGTTGGGCAAGAAGTCCTCATGCAACCTCTGCACCCACATACTCCTGGTACAGGCAGGAGGCCTGTGCCTACTGCTCCAGAGCTGACAGGAGAGGACTTCCTTCCCATAGCCCCAGTGGTCATACCTCCACAGCTTCGACCTTCCTGCGGAGCATGCTCTCCATCTGCTCCGAGAACTTCTTCACGAGCTCCAAGCCATCCACCTCTTTGATCTTCAGAGTTGGCTCCACATCTTTGTACTTCTACCCAAGGGAAAGAAGAACACACTGATGAGCAGAAGGCTCGTAAGGAGAGGGGTGAATCTATTCTTGCTAGCAGGATACTGTCTTTGGTGAAAAATGATGTACTGAAAGCATCACACTGATTTATCACCTTCTCCCATCTTTGCCTTCTCTCCTTTTTCACCCCAGAATTGAGGTGAGTGCAGATCATTGGCCATAACTCAAAGTGGTTTTACTACATAAAATCAACTGAACCAATTGCAAGCCTGTGGCTGTTGAAAACAGCAATGTACCTGAAGTTAGCAGTGCCTACAAATTAGAGAGAGAAACAAAGGCCAACTTGTTAAACCTAAAACATGCATTGTGATTACATTCATAACAGCATTATACACATCACATACCTGAAGTTTACTTAAGGCAGAGGGAAGGGCAAAAGAACAGAGAGATGCACTATCATTCCATCACCTCCTATGTTATATGTGCTCTGGGACCCTAGTGGGAGAGATGTCATGCTGGTGCATATGCTGTCCTCCCACAGTGCCCTCATATCTGTAAGATAACTTGCCAGGTCTCCAGCAAGAAGGGTCTGCTGCTCAGTGCTTAGGTCAGCCAAGGAAAGCTCCGGCAGACAGTTATGACACTACTTACTGGGCACACAGGAGCATGCTTTAGGCCAAGAGCACCATAGAGGCAATTCCCAGAAAACAGGAATGATGAGCATGGCTACTTAGTGGTGCCTCCACTGGGAGAGATGCTGTAATGAGGAGGATCTGGGTCTGAACAGCTTTAGATATAACCAGTTTCTTCTGACCATGTGTTATATAATCTAGGCATTAAAAAAAAAAAGAAAGCCAAGAGTACTCCTAAAGTGTGTAACTGTAATCTGCCCTTTCAAAACCGCATACAATGGCCTTTGTTTCTCCTTTTCAAAAAAATCCCACAGCTAACAGAGATAGTCAGAAAGAAAAGAGTAAAAAAAACCTGCAAAAGGACACAGTATGATTAACCTATTTCAGAAAAGACAGAGCCTTATCTCAGCAATATGGAAACACAAAGACAACCATTTACACTTTCCTGGTCCCTCATCATGTTTTCTTTGCAGTGTATACAAACCCCTCCATCTTCATGTTGTGTTAGTACCGTGGCAGTAATCTCTGCCAGGGCTGGACTTAGAGATGAGAGGGGCTCTAGTGACACTTCCAAATGAGCAGAAGGTGGGGGGAAAGGACTTTGCATGTCTTCAGGGTGAGCGCGTGGAGCTCCTTTTGTTCAAGAAGCTCCTTGACCATCGGGAGGGCAGCTGAGCACAGGCAGAGTAAGAAATGCCTTGAGGACGGGGCGGGCTGAGGAGGTCAGACAGAAATAGCAGCAGCATCCAGCCTGCAGCAGGCATGGGAGGGAGGCTGCTCGCTCTGTCTGGCATGATTAACGGCAAGGGTTTTACTGGATTAAAAACGCCAGGCCTCACATCCCCTCTGCTGCGGCTGGGGAGCTGGGCCAGGCAGGGGAGGAGGAGGAGGAGGAGGAGGAGGTGGTTGGGTTGAGCACGAAGGTTAGCGTAACCATGCTGCTGAGAGAGGAATGTGCAATGACAACCCCCCGACTGAGGTCCACGGCTGCTGGACCTCACATCCCAGCTGGTGTCTGTCCCAGTTAGCTCCATGTCACGGTTTCGTCAGGAGAGGAGTGATCTCTGCCAGGCTAGGCTTTAATCAGGCTCTCCTCGG